TATTCCTTCAGTTCCTGTCTTTCCACTGATGTTTGAAGAGCTTTGAGTGCAATATTGAAAAACTATAGATGTTAAGAACATTGTAAAAGTAATGGTTTCTGAGGAGTTGACGGGATTTGATATGTGCCCGCATATTCTCTTGCAGAAACGTTTCTATCACTGTCCCCCCCTTGCTTTTTACTATGAACTGTGCAGCAAAAGAAGCTTCAAGTATGGACATGCCTGCAAACAGTAGGGGGATACAATAGATGGAAACGTTACTTGTAGAAGTGTTTCTCCGGGGGCTACTGCTTCCGATGCAAACGGTCTTCAACATGATCATTTTTTAGTCAGGGATTCATACAAAATCCCTATAAACTTGATTATGCCTTTTTGGTGAAGTCCAGGAGGCATAACAAAGGACTGTTAAAAGGACTGCCTATATGATCCTTTATGTGATATGCTCGTATATTATGTGGTTATATATGTGGGTTTATCTCCTTCCTCTTACCCTTTCTGTGTTCCTTCCACTTCACTAGATTAGGAGGCTAGGGAAATCGGTTTTGGCGATGTATGGAAGCCGATGGAAATTCAAAACCCGTGTTTTCTTTCTCACATCGGCTTAGAATGCAAAACACAAGCAATTTTTGCAAGGCGTCTCACAAAATACCAAAGATGGAAACCCCTGACGACAAAGCCCAGTTAAGGCCTCTATGAGCCAAGAAGAAAGGCTTTGTGGAAAAACGAGAAGGGTGAGCTCAGCAGGCATGCTACAAGGCAGCGCGTCAGCAGTGCTTTGCAAAAGTTGTTCCAACAGGATGTGACCGTTCCCAATTCTCAGTGCCTGGCTTGGATTCTGGACACACCTTTGCCTTTTCATTTCCGGGTCCCTCAATCCCTCATTCCGTTGATATTCTTTGTTTGCAGGAACAAAAAGTGCAGCTTAGGAGAGTACAGCACTGGGAGGAGAATCTAGCGAAATTGTCTGGCTATGGCCATGTCAACACCGTTTCTGCTTGGAGGCAAGGGTTTCAAACTCTGGCCTTTCTCATTGAATGTGAAAATGTATATGGACGCTCAAAGCTCGGCCGCTCGCGCTTATTTCCCTTGAGCCAAAAGTCGGGGTACGTGTATAGTATGTACATACCCTACATCCAAACACCCCTCCTAAGATTCTTCTGCTTTGCAGATGAATCTTCACTCCACGGCTTTTGCAGCCGAGCTCTTGCCGGTCTTTGCGTACTGGCCTAAGGCATGCATGTGCTTCCAACAGGTCTCCGCGCTCAAAGGCTTGGTGCACAAGTCGGCAACGTTCTTGTCGGTGCCCACTGCGACCAACTCAAACTCTTTCTCTTTGAGCTTTTGCTGAACCCACAAGTAGCGGGTCTGTACATGCCTTGTTTTGCCCAGCCCGCGTCGACTGCACATTCCTCTGGCTGCACTGGAGTCTGAAAGAACCATGCAGTTCAACTCAACTCCCCATTCTCGGAACAGTTCTCGTATCCCGAGCACCGATGCCGTTGCTTTAACGATGGCGTAATACTCCGATTCGCCCGAAGACAACGATATCGTCGTTTGCAGAGTTGATGAAGACTTCAAGGTATGCTGTCCACACATCAGGACCAGTCCGGTGGTGGACTTTCTTGTACGAACGCATCCAGCATGGTCACTGTCTGTGAAAGCTCGGATCTTGGTGTACATCCGTTGTGGTTTGAACTCTTGAACAACTCTGGGTTTGCCTAGCAGGTATCTGCCCAGGCGTTTCAATCTTGCCCAAGAATCTTCATCGGGAACGGACATAGACCTTGCCAATGTTTTCACAGCTTCACATAGATCTCCTCTGTCTAGGCTCAAATAGGCTGCTCTCATCACCAACGATCTGTAGATCTTTGCTTGTTCATGATTCAAAGGCGGCGTTTCAATGAACGCCTCTTCCCCTGTTTGCTTTGTCGATGGTGTGCTCACTTCTCGAGCGCCTTCTAGTTGCAATTGTTTCACAATGATCTCTGCGTGTCTAGGATCAGCTTCGTATGTCAACGTCCCTGTGGACTTGTTGTATTCCAAAATCCTATTGAGCACGCTCATCACCGTGCCATCTGACTCTTCAGGTCCGACGCATCCGTCGATACGAAATTCGAACTTCTTTGCCAAAATGGTGGCAATCCGCTTCTGTGCATCTTCATCTCCTAAAATCAGAAAATCGTCTCCATGCACGAGAAATCTCGCGTCTGACTGCGTGTCATAGAATATCGATGGCCATGCCGTTCCAGCTTGAATGCCGTGTTCTTGAAGCAATTCACTGTAGGTTGCTTGCCAAATTGATGCTGCATCTTGCGTCCCGTACATCGTTTTGACAAGACGGGCACAATGACCAGGCGTCTCATCTCCTTCAGGCAATGTGCAATACACAGCTCGTTGAGAGTCACCGTACAAATGAGCACGGCTTATGTCCAGCAACTTA